TGCCCTGTCCCTACTCCTGCCCCTGCCCTGCCCTGCCCCTGTCCTGTCCCTAATCCTGTCCCTACTCCTGCCCCTGCCCTGCCCTGCCCCTGTCCTGTCCCTAATCCTGTCCCTACCCCTGCCCCTGGGCACAGCAGTTTCACATAAGGCCCTAGACACTGGGATGTGTGGAAGCTACAGCTCCTTTCCCCGGGGTAATAACCTTTCTAAGTAGCACAGCAAATGCAATCTTTATGCCATAAAGTCCTGTGTGAATTACTGTTCTGAAAAGTCTGCCTGTGTCAACCCTGGCGATCTCATGGAAGATGAGTGAGGTTCCTATTGTATTTTTTCCGTTTTGGGGAACTAGACCCGAGGCACCAAGGACTGCAGCACGTTTTCCACAACTGGACAGTGGGCAGTCCAGACTCAAATTCACACTCGCTGGGTCTAGAGTCTAGCGCTCGCTCTCTCTCGCTCTCTCTCTCTCTCTCTCTCTCTTCTCTCTCTCTCTCTCTCTCTCTCTTTTATTTATTTATTTAATTATTTATTTGTGTGTGTGTGTATGTATGTGTGTGTGTGTGTGTGTGTGTGTGTGTGTGTGAGTGGGCAGCCTGAGCCCGTGGGTAGCTATGAGGTGGGCTTGGTCTCTGGGTTAAGGAATCCTGAATTTGAAGCCCTGGCTCTTTCCACGCCCTCTTTCCTCTGTCCTTCTGCTTTGGTGTAATCACAACCATGTTAGCAGTTTAAGAGCTGGAGGGCCTAGTTCTAGAAAGTTCTCTCCCGGCACCTTTCCTTCCTCCCCATCCTATCCCATTGTTCTTTAGTCTTTAGCTGTTGCTTGTTAGCTTCCCAATCGTCACCTTATCCAAATTCAACTCTTACTGCTGTTTTAAAATTTAAATGTTTCCTTCAGTTCACTCACAGTATTTTAAATTAACAGACTGGTTTTAAGAGAAAACTTTTTATCAGCACCATAATGGGAAAACCTATGCTATACGACATGGATAGAGTAATGTAAAAAAATGTCTATAATCAATGAAAATAAGTCATATTTACCAGTTATTAAATTCTAGCATAATATCTACTCTTCGGTGAAAGGTGGAAATGAATGAGTATCAGGTGAGTGTGGAGGACATATTAGCACCAAATTAGGATTTTATTTTCCTTGATGTGACTATTGGATAGGAAAACGATTTTTCTCTGGGTTTTACTGATCTCGGAACATCTACTCGGCACTTAAGATCTCCTCCCAGAGTGTGGGCCACGCCCACCAGGTGTGCCCCCGCTGGCAGGCTTCTCTCTCCATATGGCTTTACCATTTCACTCTGACAATGGAGCAGATTCCTGTGCGGTCCTTCTCTGCTGGGCGTGAGCTCCTCCACGTCTGGAGAAATGAGCTTGACAGCAACCGCCACGGCGTGTGTGCACGCTGAGTTTCTGTCACTGTCACCTGCTTCCCACGTGGGATTCCTCAGGGGTGACTTCCTTCGGGTCTGAGTGCCGGGTAGGCACTGTGGGGACAGTCGTGGAAGCCGAGGCCCAGAGGAGTGGGTAGCTTCCCAAGGTCATGCCACTTACGTGACAGAATTGGACTCCAGCCCCGGCTTATCCGTCACCTGAGCGCCTGGTGCCCAGTATACCTGTGCTCTGAGGTGACTGCCATGGGTGCATTTCGTGTCGAAACAGCCTTGTCATCAGGGGTCATCAGAAAGTTGCTCCACAGCAGCTGGGGAAGTTCTCTGTTCCCCGTTTTATAGGTGAGCAGAAATAGAAGCCACTTTCCGAGCGGGGTGGGTGCATGTAGCATGCCCTGTGCTCCAGTGAGAAGTACTGTGAAATGAAAAATGAGATTAATGTTTCAGATTGTACAGTTCCCTAATTATGCTTTAATTATTCATATAAAACAAGTAAAATGACCCCTGACAGAGACATAAATGATTTAGGTGAAATCAAATATTAATAAGATGCTGCGTGTCCCTGGGTGTATTGTAACAGATGCACTCAAAATGCTTTGCCTTCGTCCTTCAGATGTAAAATATTATCTATAGGATTTATAGCAGACTGAGAGTGATCAATGGTTTTGAAGACACTGCTGAGCTAATTCCTATGCATTTTGGCTTTGAAACTAAAGGTGCATGACTAGTTCAACGTATTTTATTTTCTAAAATATATTGTATTTTAGAGATCACCAAGTGACCCCCCCTTGTTTTTTTGTTTTGAATTTCTTAGTGGTTGAAAAAAAATCAAAAGGATGATAATATTTCATGACACATGAAAATATATCCAAATTTCAGTGTGAATTAGTAAAGTTTTATTCAACATAGCCTGACCCATTCACTTATGTAGTATGTTTGGCTACATCTCTGCTACAAAGATGAGGTTGAGTCGTTGCAACCAGGACAGGGAGCCCAGAAAGCCTTACATGTTTCCTATCTCACCCTTCACAGGAACAGTTTTCCAGCTCTTGTTCTAAAACTCTCATGCCCTAAAGGGGGAGCAGTCCCTTAGCGTGTTTAATCAGCATACAAAACACGTGCTTTTGCCTCATTTTATTCTTTAATTTGCAATCCCACTAATGGAACATTCATTGTATATTTTTCAGAAGTTCGAGAAATATTGCCTTTTGAAATGCCATGAAAAGGGGTTTATATGAGCAGGGTTCCTTCACTTGCACCTAATGCTTCCTCTATATAGAGAAGTGCTGAACATAATGGCATTGTTCCGCCAATAGGTTCCTAGTCTAGCGTCTGTCTTTCATGAAGACCTAACTTTCATGCAGGGCTGGTCTCCGACAGTGGAACTGGGACTCCTTTAGGAAGAGGGGACCATGAGGCTACGAGAGGGTCTCCTGGGCTTCAGCACGTTTGGCCTTTGATCATAAACCATTCGATATTGGTTGGCATCTTACACTTAGCAGCCAGAAACTGTTTGGATGAATGAATGAATTCACCTTAGAAATCAAGAAAGGGGGAGATGTATCACATAAAATAAAACCTGTTTTTTATGCATTTGGATATCACATTCCTTGTGGAAAACATAATTTTTTGTTAGTGTAAGTCCAAGTTCTTTGGTCTTAAATTCTCTTTCCCATGTTTCAAGGAAGCGATTTTTGGGTTTGAGTTGATTGAGGCTCCCTGTGGACATGGACATTCGTTCATATGTGTTCTTCTACATGGGCGGAGGGAATTTTCTTATACTTGGAATGAATGGAAACGGTAAAGTAAACCTAATCTGCAATGATTTCAGTGACTGAATGAGTAGAGTTTGCGCTATACTTTTCTGAGCACATTTATCAAATGCAATGAATGCTTTACCCAACCCCGCTACCTTTTCACTGTTGTTGCCTTAATAATTGGAAGAACCTGCACATTTTATTTTCTGATATCTTGCCTTTTTCTGATTAAAGTAATGTGCCTCTCACCTTCAGCTTATCAGATATATTTCCCATCTCATTCCAGATCTTGAACCTTGGGGTAGACCCAGGAATCCCACTCTCCAGATAATTTTGATCATCAGTCAGTTTTAGGAGACTTACTCTGTCATTGTCTCAAATTTCCCATCTGTTAAACGGATAAGACATTTTGAGACGATTCCCTGGGAATTTCCATGATTTAGTGAGAGCAGTCTGCAGCTACAATGTGCTAATTTATTCACATGGCTTGTTTTTTATTTGTGTTTTTTTTTAACAGGAAGACGAGGAAAGGTGACCATAAACGTTATTTGAAGCAACAGAAGAAACCTATTGAGTTTGCTTTGGACCCTCACTTTGTTTCTCTCCCCTTTCATTTCCTACAGTTGCCATCCTTCTGAAAGACGACTATTTCGTCAGCGGCGCGGGCCTGCCCGGCAGATTCAAAGCGGAGAAGGTGGAGTTTCACTGGGGCCACAGCAATGGCTCTGCGGGCTCGGAGCACAGCATCAATGGCCGGCGCTTCCCTGTGGAGGTGAGAGCACGGGAAACTCCAGCTGGCAAAGGGCAGCTGTGCTTGGTGTCTTTCCGTTAGTGAGATGCTGTGTCTTTACTCCTAATCACTTTGCAAATCAAACGTGTACTGTCTCTCCCTTTGTCTGTGGAAATCCTTCATGTAAGCGTGGCAGGTGACTCTCCATCCTCACGTTCCCCACCCTGTTTAACCAGAGATGCATGTTGACGTCACGGACATCTGGATTGAGTAGATTCAGATCTGAGCGGTGATTTGCAAGCATTTGTTTCATTTGACACAGTCTCTCTTCCCTGTCCGTTTCAGAAACCCTGCGTTTTAAAAATATATATGTTTTTATTGATTTTTTTAGAGGGAAAGGAAGGGAGAGGGAGAGACAGAAACGTCTGTGATGAGAGAATTATCTATTGGCTGCCTCCTGCACACCCTCTATTGGGTATGGTGCCTGCAACCCAGGCATGTGCCCTGACTGGGAATCGAACCAGAGACCTCTTGGTCCCTGGGTCGATGCCCAACCTCTGAGCTGAGACCCTGCTTTCTGAAGGTGGAATTATGTAGGAAACTCAGATGACTCCATGTTTGCCCTTTGGAATATAGGAAAGTTGGTTGCTCTGTGAAGAACAGGCTCGGAAACTTCTCTCAGTAGGGAAGCGGTTTGAAGCTTGCTTGCTCCTATCAGCTGTTAAAACAAGGCTGTGGCTGTTGGTGGCATGGCTGCGGTTAACTCTGCTGGGATCGATGGTGGCATGTTGCACCCACCGTGTCAGTTTTCTGAAAGATCCATGCTGCTGGGCAGGAAAAACATCTGGGTGCAGGGGGTCATGTCTGCCTTGGGAGGGAAAAGAGCAAGACTCCAAACCTTATTCATGTTGGAGGACAGAACACCTGCCCGTCGCTAACCTTATTTTTGCTTTTAATAATGGTCCGGATGATGGTCTTGTGTGGGGACAAACGTGCTTGTGGGTTGTTTGGTAAGCTTTACGGGTTTATGGGAGAGCTGAACGGCTGTGCATCCGAGCCTACGGCGGGATGCAAACATGGATAGCTCTTAGTTTCTTGAGAGAAGTTTTGTAACTTCTCTTAAGTCATGACCTACTTTGATAATCTGATGAATGCTTGAGACCCCTCCCTCCATAGAGAAAATACATGTGTGTACACACAGGTTTGCATAAAATTTGTAGGATTTCATCACTCACCTTAGCTTCTCAAGCCCTTTAAATATTCTTAACCTGAGGTGAAAATCCATATAAGATGAGAAAACCAGTATTATTTCTTTATAGATATGTGTGTGTGTGTATTTGTTTCTTATCCATGATTCCTAGAGAAACCAGATATAGCTACTTCTGTGAATGCTTCATATTTTTTCTAGTTTAGCTGAGGAATTCTCACTATCAAAACTTTTCTGTCCTAGGATGCATCTCTCTGTGGGTCTTCTTGTCCTGCTCACACTAATTATAATTCTCATGAGTAGGGTTTCTACTTCATGGGTTCTCCTCCGCCCTGTAAATGGAATGAATCATTTCTTAGAAGTCTGAGCTTTACTTCTGCGTGGAAATCTTGATTCCTAGAAACAAGATTGCATCATGTTTTTCAGTTTGGTTTTCTCTTCTGCTGAGTATTTCCCATGGGTGGTTTGAGTGGAAGGGATAGTTTGTACCCAACCAGGTTTGCTCCAAAGCCTCTTTATCTTAGAATCGGGTTGCGATTTGTTCAGTTAATGTTGTTCCAGACAAGAGACTTGTGCTGAAAAGTTTGAAAACTTACTTTGGCATCTGCTGTGAAAAGGAAGAACTCTGGAGCCGGCAACTACAACTTCTGCCTTTTCCCTTATCACATCCACTCATGCCTAGACGAGCCTGTCTCCTCCTTGAATTTGCTTCTGGAAAAATGCATAGACTAGAGCAGCCGTGGGCAAACTACGGCCTGCTGGATCCGGCCCGTTTGAAATAAATAAAACTAAAAAAAAAAAGAGACCGTACCCTTTTATGTAATGATGTTTACTTTGAATTTATATTAGTTCACACAAACACTCCATCCATGCTTTTGTTCCGGCCCTCCGGTCCAGTTTAAGAACCCACTGTGGCTCTCGAGTCAAAAAGTTTGCCCACCCCTGGACTAGATGCATATTCTTTTGGAAACATTACTTTAAATTAATATTTTGGTTTTCTTTTGCGCAAAGAGTGCCATGAAGCTCAAAACTAATTAGCAATGGAAGCTGCAACACCCAGACTTACTGTTTGACCAACTTGTTTCAATTTATGTCTTTCAAGTAACATCAGATGCTAAGGCTGCCAGTATTAATTGGGTTTCTCATCCAGTCCCATCTAGTTCATAGTTTGCTTTTTAAAATATGATAAACATGTTAAATTACTTACTGGATATACTTAGAGGAACTTGAATTTCAGAGATCAAAGGTAATGGGATCAAATTTAACTTTAAAATATGCACAGAAAAATTGCTTACTTTTGCCCAAAACATGTCTGTAATATTTTATGTTATACTAGAGCCTGGTGCACGGATTCTTGCACATTGAAAGTAAATTAATTAGAAGGTGGCTGGCAGGGTGGGGTCGGACTGGGTGAGTTGGGCTGGACACGCCCTGGAGCCAACCTCCCGCGGTTCCTCCCTGGCATCTGCGGAGTGAGCAGGGGCAGCTGTGGGGGGGGGGGACTCGAAGGGCTTCTGTGGAGTGAGTGGGGTCCCTCCAGCAGGCGGGGTCACTCGGCCTGGCCTGTGGGGATCCCTCTCACAATCCAGGACTGCTGGCTCCTAACTGCTCACCTGCCTGCCTGCCTGATTGCCCCTAGCGGCCACCTTGGGATGATGTCGCCGTGGCCATCTTGTGACGACGTTGCATGATGCCACCTAGGCTTTTATTATATAGGATAGATTGCTTTCTTTGAGCTCTTTATTAATATCAACTTTCCCTGAGATGTTCTCATTATTTGAACATCTCAGACTTGATTTGTTTCTCTCCTTATAACTACATTTTTAATGGAATTATAACTGTGAAAAATTGTAATGTATCAAGTAGTAATATATCAGCGTTAGGGACATTGTTTATTTGTCTTGTATGTGGTGTCAGAGAAGAGCCATTGTTGAGGGTTGTCCTGGGATTGGTAGAAGACAGCACTGTTCCTAACTGAGTTGTCACTGCTGTGGGAGTGGTAAGGTACTCACATTTACTGCGTAATGGCCAGGGATGCTGCTAAATATTTCAGTTCATAGGACAGCCTTCACAACAAAGAATTATCCTGCCCCGGTGTCGCAGTTTGAGTGGAGCATAGGAAGCAGTGCGTTCAGTGGAATCGGACCTTCCTTTATGTGTGTGGCATTGTTTGAAGTATAATTGAATCATGAGGATTCACAGCTTGAGAAGTGTTCCACCCTCTCGTGGTTTTGCGAGAGGAAGTATACTTGTCTTAGGGGTAACGCACCGCTGGGCCAGGTTCCTCTCCATTCCTCCCAGATAAAGTCAGGATATGGTTTTCAGCAGCTGCCTTGGCTTTGCTCTGTAGGTGGAATTTGAAGCATCTGCCCCACAAGAATCTGGATCTGCTCCCTTGAGGGTAAATTGCAACAAACCCAATTTTGTAGGTTTTGCTGCTTCCCAGGAATTCTTTGAGGTCATCCACAACTTTGTACACATCCAGAAATTAGACCTCTCCACATTTTCCTGGCCGAAATCCTAGACTTGGTCTTGTAGTTCCTACACTTAAAAATGTCCAGCCTAATAGAAAAATAATGTCCTTGTAAAAATAAAATCGAAGCCCTTCAATGGCCAACATTCTTTACAGCTCAATTAACGCTAGAAAAGAAATTAGGAATTCGATTACCAGCCATACCTAGGAGACTAGACCCCCTTTGGATTCTCAGATGTCCCTCCCCATCCCCTATTATTCAGCTTTATTCCTCACCCTGCAGCAATTTCCCCCTAAGTGCCTTGTGTTCTGTAGGTGCTGGGTTACAAAGGTAAACCAGAAGGACTGAGTCCCCACCCTTCAGGTAGTTACAGTCTAGTCATGACACAGAAACTGAACCAGCAGTCATGTAAGTAGCTGTGTAATATCAGTAGTGATCTCGGAATGAGGGGCATTTGTCACAAGCTGGGAGACCTCTGTGGAGGCAGATGTTTATTAAGATAAAAGATTTTTACTGAACGACGTTGACTAAGATAGAAGAGATGAATTGGAGCCTGCCTGTAGAACAGGGATAAGCAAAGGCAAGTTAATGCTTGGCAAATTTAAGGAATAAAAAATCAGTGGCGGTTTTGGTGGGCAGGATAATGGTACCCCCCAAAACCATCCACCCCGTAACCCCAGGAACTGTGGATGTATTGGTTTACATGATAAAAGAGCCGTTGAAGATGTCTTTCCGGATCCTGAAGTCAGAAGGCTCAGGATAAGCCAGTGGTTAAAACAGTGAGGTCAGAGGGTCCTGTTCTGGTTCTTGCTTGGCTTACTTGCTCTGTGTTATCTGTCTAATCACAGGCTTCTAGGCTGTCCTAAGTCTTCTCCCTGTCCCATAATCTTTCCCTGTCCTGTGGCTGGTAACTTAACTAAATGCTCATGTGACACTAATAGGGATTGAATCATGTGGTGTTTCCACTAATAGCTCAAGTTGGAGTTAATGCAAAGAGAAATCTCCAGATAGAACCTCTGAGAGCGCCATTAAAGTGCAGGTTCATTGCATGCTTGTTGTCTGAGGTAATTAAAATCTTGTTTATTACAATAAGAGATCACAGGAGTTGTTGATTTAGACTTATTGGTGCTTTATGAGTTGAAGTCTTCAATAGGCTTAAATGATCCAAATTGATTGTGTGTGCCCTTTCCAGTGAAACTCACAGCTGGTTCATTTCAGCTCTGTTTAGAGCATCCTTGTAAGTGAATAGAGGCAGCGACTTTTTTCCTAATACATACCAAGTACACATTACCATCTGTACAGGTCTGCAGTCCCTTAGCTGAGAGCCTTGAGGCCAGATGTTATAGACTTCAGAATCTCTT